CTGCCTTCCCTCTGAGATTCATCAGTCTGTTCCATGCTTCTATGTCTCTAATTTAATGTAATTTTCCATTGAATTTATTGGTGTGGCTGGTTAATAAAACCATACAGATTTCAAGTATACAACTCAATAAAACATCATCTGCACACTGCATCGTGTGCTCACCACTCAAAGTCAAGTCTCTTTCCATCTCCATTTACCTCCCCTTTGCCCACCTCTACCTGCCCCGCCTTTCCCTCTGGCTAACACCATACTGTTGTCCGTGTCTGTGTGTCATCTGTATCTATATATACTTTGTTTTTCACTTATAATCCCTTCACCTTTTTCACCCAGCCCCCTCCCCTCTGACCACTGTCCATCTGAAGTTAAGTTCTGGTGTACAGAAAGTAGAAATAAAGGCCTGGATTGAGTCTCATAAAACCAGTTGCTAAAATCTATCCAGTAGAAGCCAACTGAAAATCATTATTTTGGTAAGATTTAGACGTCTCTGCTCCAGAATGTGTTTAAGACATAAAACAGCAGCCTTCTCCAGTGATAAAGTTAACCAAATGCCGACAAATCATGTTTTCCTTGGGAAAGGAAAATGAACTTCTTAGATATGATGGATTGTTAATCTTATTCTTAATTTGAAATATCACCTATAAGTTGAAAACTGAAAAGGAAATAGGGCCACACTAAGTTTTTTTTATAAGGCATCAAAACATCTAATGAAAGAAAATTTTCAAACAATTATTTGGCTAACACTCCAGTATTTTTCCAATTGGATACAATTTTAAATATTAAAATGTATTATAGAATTGTACACTTGAAACCTATATATTTTATTAACCAATGTCACCCCAATAAATTTAATAAAAAATTTTTATATAATATATGCTATTAATAGTGGAGTTAGCAGATACCCTTTCCACACTGGGCATAATATTTACTTTTGAACTGAGTTTAATCTACTTTATCAAGTTAGGGAATTCTCCTTTCATTTCTGTTTTATTAATTTTTTTTTTAATTATGTGACATTACGTAGCTCAGAGGTTGGCAAAGTTTGGCTCACAGACTAAATCTGGTCCTCACTTGTTTTTGTAAATAATGTTTGACTGGAACATTGCCAGGTCCATTAGAGTGCATATTGTCTGGCTGCTTTCATGATGCTAAGGCAGAGTTAAGTTGCTGAGACAGAGCCCACAAAGCCTAACATACTTACCATCTAGCCCTTTACCAAAAAGTTTGCCATCCCCCCAATGTGGATGAAATGTCAAAAGTTTATCATCTTTATTTTTTGTTTAACATGTTTTCCTTCGTGGATGAAAGAGTATTACTTGCTTAACCTCCTAAACTTGTTTTCAGGATAAATAGAGATAAGTTCCTACTGGCAGGTTGAAGTCACACTACCCATTAAAAATCACACTGATAACAAACCAACCAAATGTTGTTTGGATTGGGGTCGCCATCTCCAGGAGAACAGTCCTGATGGACCTGTTTAGAAAGGCCTGCTTTGACTGTCAAACCTCTCTGACATATATCCCAGAGCTGAATGCTTCTCCATTGATGAACTTTCTTGATGCCCACAGCTCCCAACCCTCCCACAATTAGAGAAGAGCTCTGCACAGCTTCCTACGACACCATCACTGTTCACTGGACGTCCGATGATGAATTCAGTGTGGTTTCCTATGAGCTCCAGTACACCATATTCACCGGACAAGCCAATGTTGTCAGTGAGTACCGCACACCATAGTGGTTTCTCTGCCTGGTGACTGTTTTCTGATAGACTCTATTTCTGAATTTAAACATCAAAGGAAGACAAGGAAAGAAAAAATGCACAATATTTATTGGCTTGTTTTTCCTAACCAAGAAGATGATAGCACTCACTTGTATATACTAGTAAAAATAACTGGCCAAATATTGATGAAAATTAATGATCTCTAGCAAACTACATGGATGAATCTTACAAGCATATTGTTAAGAGAAAGAAACAGGAAACAAAAGAATATATGCAGTATGATTCTATTTATACACTCATGACTTAAACTGTTTTGTTTAGAGATGCATACATCGGTGTAAAAACTATAAATAAAAGTCAGGATGACGGTTACCTCTGATATACGAGGGGAATGGCACCATTGGGAAGAATTATACAGGGGTTCATGGGTTAACAGCATTTTCTGGTTATAGTCTGGTTATTTCATAGTTACATCATGCATACATTTAATTTTATGTACTTTTCTGAGGGTTATTTCATAATTTAAAAAAAAAAAAAAAGATTTAATAAAATCAATAGCCAAGAATACCGGAGACCTGGTCCCATTCAGAAGAGAACAGGGCCATCATTTGAAAGGTTAGTAATTGGCCCCACCTGGGAAGAATTTCAGACCTTACTTGAAACACAGGCAGGCGCCTCTCTCACTGGGCCCGTGACTATTTGATATCGGAGATAATTCAATGATCTCACTCAGCAGTAGCTGGCCAGAGAGATGGTAACAGAGGAAACACTCCCCCCACCTATAGAGTTATCTAAATTGACTTGAGTAAATGGCAAAGGACTAGAAGAATTGACTTTTCAGGGGAGGTTTGAAATTTCTTTAGCAAATAAAAATAGAATATGTCAAAGTAGAATAGAATAGAGGTTACTTTTCAACAAAGAAATGTTTTGAATAAATTCACATCTACTTAACCTGCTCTTATTATATAAACCTATTGTCTCTGAACTACACTGTTCTTTTCTAGCACAAGTAAATCTGAGGCATGTGATGCTTAAAATAGAAATTTTATTTAGGATTAGTTAAAAGAGAGTTACTGAAAGACCCCGCTTCTAAGTGACTAAAGTATAAATGGTTCCCCCTGTCTTCCTCATATCCCCCCTTTCCCAGCTTCCTTTCCTCAACCCTCTGCCCTTCCACTCCTTAACTGGCCTGCCTTGGAAGCTTTTATGAAAATCTTACCAGAGATTGTATCAAATATTCATTTAAAAAATGAAATTTAAAAGATGGTCAGAAATTCCAAAACAATCAGAAAAGGACACATTGAGGGTCTGAGAAGAGCAGATAGAAAATGGAGGGATGATTTGTTGCAAAAAGTGAACTGAGATCAATAAGCATTGTGTCAGACTCAAAAAACAGAGGGTCTCTGAGAACACACAGAGGATTGATAGAAGCAACATCTGCTGATGAGCAAATAATGTAACCAGAAAAAGGAACATTTGGAACCATGCTATACCTAAAGGTTGCCTCTTGGCCCACAGAGTAATGTTATATTTCTCTGAAATTGTTTTTGCTTGATCCAAGAAAAATTACATCAGTTCTCTATTGCTGTGTAAGACATTTTCCAAAACTTAGCAGCTTAAAACAACACCCATTTATTATTTTAGTTTCCATGGGCCAGGATTCTGGGCGCAGTTTAACTGGGTCTTCTTCTTAGAGCCCATAAGGCTGATATCAAGGTGTTGGCTGGGCCACATTCTCATCTGGAGGTCCAATTAAAGAAGAATTTACTTCCTAGCTCCTTAGATTGCATTCAGAATTTATTTCATTATGGTTGTGGAATTCATGGGAGTTTGCTTCTTCAAAGTCAGAGAGAGAGGGAGAGGGAGAGAGAGACTTTGCCACTTCATGTCTCTCATCTCTAAAGCTGTTCTTTAAAGAGCTTGCTTGATTAGCTCAAACCTGCCTGGAATAATCTCCCTTTTAATTAACTAAGAGTCAGTTTATTAGGGACCTTAGTTACATCCGCAAACTCCCTTCACCTTTGCCATGTAATGTAATATCACAGGAATGATGAAGATGATAAGACCTTTCTCCTTTGCCATATCTGTTGATTAGAAGCAGGTCACAGATCCTGCCTACACTCACGGAGAGGATTATACAATGTCATGACTAGCATGGAGGCCACAAAAGGGCATGTCCACCACAGATGGTTATGTCGCTCCTAAATTTCTTGAATCAAATTACCATGTTCCCTGTATTCGTTGATATTTGCTGCAGAGCCAACAACCACAAAACCTAAGTAGCTTAGAACAATCAAAGTTTATTGCTTGTGCATCTGGAATCAGCTCGGGGTCAGCTAGGAGGTCCTGCTAATGTTGGTTAGGCTCCCTCACATGTCAGGCTGATAACTGGGGCAACTCAACTGCTACACAGCTCTCTCAGGCAGCTAAATGTGACTAATTTGACTTCCATGCTGTTGGCATGGAAAATAATACAAAAACAAGACGTACAAATGGAATAGATGAGAAAAGGCTGTACCTGCAGAAATTCAACAACAGTAACACTATTGAGCATAATGAACTCAGGGTTTTATGCTGGGTGATTCCAGAGAAGGTATTTTGTTCCCGGAAACCAGTTACTACAAGAAAATAAATGCAAATGGCTTAATGAAGATTATGAACCTGCCTTATTTAATGCGCACATGCCAGAAAGGCGCGTTCTCCCAGGACAGATGGGAACAGTGGAAGTGCAGGTGCTCATCTAACTGGGGTACCCTCATCAGCTTGTTGGTATCGGGATTTGTTCGTCTATTTAATGTCCATTGAACCAGTGCAGTGATGTCTTGATGCCAATAGGATCCAATTGCAACAAAGAAAGAATTTAGGTAAAAAGATAACTGAAACACAAGAATTTTCAAATTATTTTCTTCTCTAATACTATACATATTTGTAGTGACTGAGAGAGACCCGGATTTGAATCCTAAATTTGAACCTCACTAGCTCTATAATTTTAGGCAGATGTTTTAATGTCCTCTGAATCTGTTTCATCCTCTGTAGGAAGAGGCAGTGTTTTAACCTCACATGGTTGAGAGAACAGAAGTAAAGGCCTTAGTTCTATGTTTGGCACAGCGGTAGCACATAGATATCCATAGTTATTATTCCTGCAAAAATACAGACTATACTCACCCATTATTGCATTTTTAAAGGCTGATATTTCTGTGATATGATAAAGGTTAATAATGTAATTTGCCAAGATTATATTCTACATAATAGCATTTTACATGATCTTCATGTGAAAAGCCCTCCTTTAATGTCATCTGACCATCTGTCCTATCATTTGGAGGAATATCCTTTGCAGATCTTGTAATTCTCAAAAAACTGGCTATAGCTTCTTATGCCACTAGGAAATCTTCTACTGTCTCTAGTTTATATTCCTTCACTTGTCATAATAAATTCTAGTTAATCCCCCTGACTGACTTTAATGAAGGAGAATTACATAATATCTATGGGGCTCTTTAATCTTATAAAAGGTCCTACTAATCAAATTCATACGTTCAAATGCAAAATTAATGACATTGGTAATTTTTTATTTTTCATTTTTATTAACAGACTCACAATTACAGATGTTAATGAATTTATTAACAAATAGATATTTATTTTTACAATGTTGTTCATGTTGCTTACCCAAAACTACTTTTACTGCATCATTTGAAATCTTAAATATGTGCCTTTTCCCAGCAGCCTATTTTTATTATTAGCAAAAGTCAAGAGATTTGTTTCTTCAAGATTTAATGGCAAAGAAGCTATCTGTATTTATTTTAGTCAGTTTGAAAACATTCATGAAAGTTATTAAACATATACCGTTTTTATAGAGAAGAAAGAAAAAAATGTTCATTTCTGTCCAATCTGTTAGACAAAGGAAGTTAGAAGCTGGTGTGTGGCCTCTCCAAAGGGTGTCCAGTTGCATAATGTTTTATATATAATGTTTTATGACAAGATGACAGTTGTTATACAAGGCTATGAAATCCCCAATGTAATTAGGATCGTGTAATGAGCAGCATTATGTAGGGAAATGCTCCTGACCCATTGTGAATGAGAAACAAAATGTACAAAGTTGAAAAACTCAATTAAGTCTCATTATGGACTAATTATCTTCCTAGTTTCATTGTTGTTTTAGTACTTCAAGTGGAATTGGGAAAGGTGAATGTTGGAATACCCTGAAAGATGATTGAAAATGAATTTGGAAAAAAGTGAAGTTTCAGTCAGGATGGTTAGTGGGTGTTTCATAAAGAGATGAATAAAACCTGGTCAACAGTCCTGACACAGTGGGGCATCGAGGCAGAAATGTCTGGCGCTTGGCGCCATGTGAGGAAGTTAAGTGGTGTTGGCGCAAGACCAACACTAGCAATGCAATAATGGTGTATTCCAAGATACCCCACTTACTACGGCCCCCAAAAGAAAATGGCCAGTGTTGCTTTCTTGGCATTTTTAATCAACCTTTCAATTATTACCCTGGCAATAGTAATAATATAAAAGTAAACCTAAACAGTAATAAGTGGTTAGTATTCACGAAGCTACGTTGTCCCAGTGTAAAGCTGTCCAATGAAATTTTACTACTTCATAAACATTTTGTTCTTTTAATATTCAAGGAAAAAATTAGTGACCTCTTCAAAGTAATCAGGATAGTCAGGGTCCCTTTTTTTGTTTGGAAAAGGTTTATGAAACATTACATCTTCTTTGTTGGGTTAAGACTTTGGATTGTAGGCCAAGTTACAGTTTGCAGTGATTCCAGACATCTGCTTTATGATGTTGCTGAAAACAGTCCCCTACCACATTAAACCCAGCTTTGGGTTGTACAGTGATGTAAAGTTTATTGAAACATTGTTACATTTGCTGTCTTTGACCACAATAGTCATTTTACTGTAACATATGCAATTAAACAGAAAGAGTGTAAATGCAGTGGCATTGATGGGATTGTCATTGATTGTACTGAATGCTGTTATTTTCATTCAGGCGTGAGTGCTCTTGACAAAGGTCTAGGAGTATGGATAGAAAATCGTAGGTAATAGAAAAGCTCGTTGTTTTGTCTTATTGCTATTGTAACATTATTATTAAATATCTAAAGTGAGTTACAGGCTTCTTGGGGCCAGAGTTCAAAATGACCCTTCTTTGCTTGGATCAAAATCTACTATTTGGCTGTGGCACTATCCGGAAATATTAAGTTTATTACAGCCACGTTCGAGGAAAAGGTAAGGTGAGAAATTAGCGTAAGTGATATGCGGTAGGGAGAGTCTCATGTTACTAAACTATTTGTGGATGTTTTCCTGGGCCTTACACAAGTAAGAATTTGTAGGAAAACAAAGAGCTAAGGGGTGGGGGTGAAGAGTTGATGGTGCCTTAGCTGCTCTGCTGTATCTCCAAACATGCACACACACAACCTCTTCTCTGAGCCTCACATTCTTTCCTTGCTTCATGCTGGCTTTGTCAAACCTGGCAGTCCTCCTGGTGAAAATGTTCCCAGGTGGAAATGTAAAGAGGTGATAGAAAAATCACAAAGTCAGTTACAAACTATGTCTGAAAATATGGTGTGCCCAAGACACAAATCATATGAGGGGAATTTTCACAATTGACAAAATACTTTTACGTTCTTCTCGACTGTGAGACTACCATGAGCAATGTTTAACTCAATAGTTGGAGAAAGTATTTAGTAGGATTTAAAAGCAGACTTCTCGGGGTGTGAATACCTTGAAGTGCAATGCCAATGCCCTAGATTCTCAAAGAGGTGAGACCAAAGAAAGATTAAGGGACTGCTTCTTGAGAGTATGGTAAGGTATAAGTTGCCTCAAGATCGAAAGAACTAACCCTTTGACTTACAAATCCACTGACAAGAAAGGACGGAGAGGTGAGTTTAGAGCCCCTCAGGAAGAAGAGGGGCCAGGCCCTCCACCAAACACTGGTGAAGGAAATTCACCAGAGTCAGGAAACTTCATGACAGCCCAGTCACCAGGGAGCTGGGAAAAGGTTCCATTAGAGTGGAGATTGATGGGTAGAGAGGGGAGAGAGGAGAGTTGGACCCAGTACCAAAGAGATGTTTTCAGCATCAGCCAGCTGCAAAACAAAACGGGCTTCCTTTTTCCTGTGTGTTCTTCCAAGCATCATAAATTCTCAGCCTGCTCCCCAACCCACATCCTGCAGAACGCAGCCAGAGCAACAGCCCCGCTCTACTCGGGAACCAGGCGTGCTAGGGATGCAGCTGGTAGGAATCCCTGCGGACGCTTTCCTGAGACCGCACTGGGCCCTGAGCTGCACTGGTGCCGCTGCTACAGGGTGCTCTTAGGAACCCGTCTCCCAGACTGGTTAATTACGGCCACAATAGTGCTGGATCTCACACAACCCCCAGGATCATTTTCTTAGCTCCCTGTCAGAAATTAGCTTGGACTTGGCCAGTCTCTGCTGGCTTCCCTCCTTCCTCGGCTGGGCAATGGAGCTGTTCCCTGTGCCTCATCCTGTCCAGATGAGCACACTCTCTGCGAGTGTCCTCCCCATGGCAATGGCAGAGGCACGAGGGGGCAACAGAAGTCCTCAAGGCCTTGTAACGCGTCCTCTTGCAGCTGGCGCCTTGGCATTTTAGCCTCACCCTATGGGTTAGAGCAAGTCACATGGGCACCCCAAGCCATGTGAGAAGGGAATATACCCCATCTCTTTAGAGGAAGCTACTGTCAAGTCACTTAGGCCTGGATCCAGGGCATGGTGACAAATTAGAGGCAAACATGCAGCCTACTACATCTACATTAGTAAAGTCAACTTCTCATACGGCACTCAGGTCCCCTCTCACCGTCTGTGAGTCTCCGAGTTGATGAGATGTGAACATTTAATGGTCATCAGAATGAGAATGGGTGTGAGGGCGGGGAGGAGGAGTCCGTGCTTCAGGTGCCAGACAGAACCACCTTTGCTGCTCTTATTCATACTGAACAGAATTTGCAGTATAATTTTAAGTGTTTTTCCATTTGGAGCACACAATAAGAATATATACAAGTTGACCTACTAGAGGCAGAGCACTGAGCACTCAAGCTTATTGGTTGTCTCCCTAAGAGGTGACAAAACACTCCACTTATGGGCCAAATAGCCTAAAATTATGCAAATGTTGCCCTGTGCTTGTGCCAAAGAACTGCACCCCATCTGGTTGTCTTTGCAGGTCTATGTAACTCGGCCGATAGCTGGATGATTGTGCCCAACATCAAGCAGAACCACTACACTGTGCATGGTCTGCAGAGCGGCACGAAGTACATCTTCATCGTCAAGGCCATCAACCAGGCGGGCAGCCGCAGCAGCGAGCCCGGGAAGCTGAAGACAAACAGTAAGTGCTGTACGCTCAGCAGAGCTGTCATCTCTCCCTTCAGAAGAAAGAGCTGTCCCCCTTTCTTTCTCTTTCCTCTGCCTTAGGCATTGCTGACAACCTCAGAAGCAAGTAGCGAGCCAACGGGGACTAGTGCATTTTGCACCAGATACTTCGGGTTCCCAAACTGACTACTCTTAAGGGCAATGAGACCATTAACTTGTCTGGGCTTCAGACTTTTCATTTTTAAAATAAGTAATCATGGAGGGGTTCTTGTGAGAATTAAGGTACATATGTGTATATGTAAGTCTGACACACAGTTAGGGCTCTAACTGGCGGATACCGTTTTCTGTAGCAGATTAGCAGATCAGTAAGTCTTCAGGAATTCTGTATTTCACTCCAGATATCTGACTAGGCCTGTGGCTCTCAATCAGGCATCATTCTGCCCCCTCACCCCAGGTGGGACATTTAGCATTGTCTGGAGACATTTTTGGTCGTCACAGCTGAGGCGGATGCTACTGGCATCTGGTAGTTTGAGGCCAGGGATGATGGGACAGCCCCTCGACAAAGAATGCTCTGGTTTATACATGTGCCTCGCAATACTGTCATCTCTGTCCGTGTCCCTGCCCGCATGTGTTTTGATTTATCTTTTCTTGACATCTTTTTGCTCTAGCGATAGTATGTTCTATAACACGGTACTTCTTTACGTAAGGCCTCCCACAAGAAAGCAAACTGGAGTCTGTCAGTATAGTGCCATGTTCTAGGATTGCCTGCCAGCCAGTTAACAGAAACAATAACTGTTTTTCAGGGGACCCTCCTTTAACCCATATCCTATCCTTGATTTCAGTAGCCAAATAACTTTATTTCACTCCTGATATGTGTCTATGACACGTACTCTTAAACATGAAGCTAATTTCTCCTCTTGCTGTTTCTGCGGATAAATGTTTTTGGAGATTAAGTAAGAAAAATGAATAAATACATGCACCAAGGTTAATTCTGTAGAATATATCTTTGAGATAATGCCACGAGTGTGTTTTTAAAGTCTGATTCTGACAATATGTTATTGGTCACATTGAATAAACAGTCCTTTTCCTCTTTCTTTTTGTTTTGTAAACTTGTTTCTAGGCCAGCCATTTAAACTGGATCCCAAAACTGCACATCGAAAGCTAAAGGTGTCTCATGATAACTTGACAGTAGAACGTGATGAGTCATCATCCAAAAAGAGCCACACACCCGAACGCTTCACCAGCCAAGGGACCTACGGCGTAGCTGGAAACGTGTTCATTGATAGCGGCCGGCATTACTGGGAAGTGGTCATAAGTGGAAGCACATGGTAGGCAATTATATCTCTTGTCTCCAATTATAAAAAGGCGCATCTCACTCTATACTTTGTCAGCATCAACCCATACCAGGGTCCATCTTGAAGAATATGCAGAAAACCTTTATCAGTCAGCTGTTGCTACAGCCATGCTGCATAACAAACATGCCAAAAGTCCGTGGCTTCAAACAATAATTATTATTACTCATTAACATCCATATCTGTGGATCAACTGAGCAACACTAACCTCAGCTGGGCCTTGCTTTAAGCTGTAGGTTGGATCTAGGTCTGTTCTGTGTCTCTCCATCCTCTTTGGATATGTGAGCTACCCAGGTCATGTCCTTCTCAAGGAGCCCAAGAGCATAAGCCCAACTGTGCAAGGGCACTTAAAGCCTCTGCTGCACCGTGTCTGCTCACTTCACATTGGCTAGTCGCATGGCCAAGCCCAAAGGCAGTGGTGCAGGGAAGTATATTCTTCCCATGGAGGAGAGAAGAGGGGGTAAATATTTGCCAAGCAATCATCTAACCTACTATTCAGCCAATAAGAAAAATAACTTGTTCTAAGTCTATCTAGTTTTTATTTACGGCAAGAACTGTAGCTGATGATAGAGCCTTCATCCCTGGGGAGAGGTAGTATGCTAACACTGCTCTTCCATGCCTTAAAACATGGGTCAGCAAACTACAGCTGATTTTGTAAATAAAGCTTTACGGGAACACAGCCACGCCCATTCTTTTCCATCTTATCTATAGCTACCTTTGAGCCACACGGCCGAGTTGAGCAGTTAAGACAGAATCCTACGGTCCACAAAACTGAAATATTGACTCTCTGGCCCTTTATAGAAAAAGTTTGCCAATATCTACTCTAAAACATTACTTTCTAATATTTTAAAAGAAAAACTAGTTTCTGTTGCCTTGTACATTTTAGGATTCTAGACTGGGCCAATTTATGCAAATGGCCGAGAGCTGAAGGCTGTGGGGAAGCAGTGATCCTGGGCTGGGAATCACTTCACAAGGTCTGGTAGATCTAGCCCAGGGACTTTAGCCTAAGGGTGCAGTCTGGGCTGGAAGTAATTTACCTTGTCAGGTTATCCTCACAAAGCTGACCTTGCCTGTTCCACAGCCACACACTGCCCATCTTACTCTGGCCGGCTACCTCACAGATACCTGTTTGCTATTGCTCAAAGAGGGAGCTATTTTATTTTTATTTAACCAGCTCTCATCTAGCACAACTATGTGCCAGGCACTAGCCTAAGCATGTTATAAATGTTGACTCATTTATCCCAACAACCCTACAAAGGTAGGTGCTAGTATCCCCTTTTATCCCCTAGTATCCCCTGAAGCACATGCCCAAGGTCACAAAACTCATAGGTAGCAGAGTTAGGAAGTCTGCGATCAGACTGCAAGCTCTTAACCAAGGGTCCACAAACATTGCCTGTAAAGGGCTGGAGAGGCAATATTTCTGGTTTTGCAGACCAGATGATTTTTGTCGCAATTATTCAACTCTACTTGTAATGGGAAAGCAGCCATAGACCATATGTCTGCGAATGGGTGTGGCTGTGCACCAATACAACTTCATTTATAAAAATAAGCAGAGCGCCAGATCTGGCCTGTGAGTTGTAGTTTGCCGATCCCTGCTCTTAACCAATATGCTGTATTTTCTAAACATTATAATTACTCTTTAGGGCTTACAGTGCTATACTTAATGAGTAGTGGCTTAAACCTTGCTTTGAAAAAAGCTTAAAAGTGCATAACCTGAAGATGATGAGTATTATAACAGTGTTATTTTTTTATATAAGGATGCTAAAACACTTCTCATTTATTAAAAAATCTTTCAATTCAAATTTATGCAAATAATACATTGTGTCAAAGTGCCTTATAGTATTGGCATAAGTCGGCTGAAATTTAAGTGAAATCACAAGTTTGGGTGTCTCATTTCTCCCAATAGTGGTGCCTGTCTTGACCAACCAGTAGATTTTCTTCTGTTGTGATCATCACAATTCTCTTTGCTCAGAATCTTTTCCTGTTCCAACATCCTGCCAGAGGATGGAAAATGAATCCTTCTGCCCCACTTGGCTCTGGCCCAGACTAGCATTTACAGTTTTCAGCTACACTGGGGCAAGATAAAAGCCCAAAGGAAAATACAATGAATTTTTGCAGGTGCAAAAGAGCAAACATTACTAGTTAATTAACGTGCTGTATTAATCTGGGATGTAATCCAGTGTCCAAATAATTACAAGTCCATTAATAATTATTTATGATAAATGATACCTGATCATTATGATCTCATTCCCATTGATGAATGGTGCGGGAAATTCCACCAGAACACTTCAGTTATATAAACACAGATCAGCATTACCTTGAAAACACCCTCCAGATGTCAAAACCAACTCATGAAGGGGAGGAAATTTAAAATTAATTGCCACACTTTGGATTTTTACAAACCTGATTGTGTCAATTTCAGAAAATTCTCATGTAAAACATAGTTGAACATTTCCTGGGAGGTTTTAGCAAGCAAGGGGTGACCCTTACAATCAAGTTCCTGTGACACTTTGATTTGCAACAGCTAATGATACATATATTTTCTCATGATATATAGACTTGACTTTAACATGCATGTTATGATCTACGCAATGGGGCATGTTAACATTGCTCGGAGAACCATAATTTTTACACTTTTTTAATTCTCTGAGTCTCACTGTGTAACTTAATGGAACATTACCTTCTGCCTGCTCCTTTCAAGTTCAATAGAAGTATGTGCATAGGTTTTCAGATTAATGATAATATAATGGTATTTTCCTTTGCTTAATGGACTACGCACGTAGTTATTTTCTTATTCTCTGATGCTGCTAATGTGCACTTGATTTTGATGAAATCGTGTTAAGTAAACATGGGTTCACGCGAAGATGACTGGGCCAGAAGGCAAAAGGCAAGAGGGCGAGATCCTGGATTTTGCTCCTAATTTTAACCTCCGTGGTTTCCCATTTGCTGAGTGGAGTCAGTCATACCTGCAGCAGCTACTTCCTAGGGGGTTCAGTTAGGGTTCAAATGAGAAATAAACGTCAAAGTTCCAAATTATCTGAAAAATGGCAGCGGTGTCTACCAGGGCATAGAGAACGTCTATGGGGAAAATACAAAAAAATTGCAAAACAAAAATCTTCCCAAAGTGTTTCGGTTACGGTTCAACACAGAAACAGAAGTCACCTTAGGTTTTCCAGGGAGGAACGGAACCAGATGCTTACTGGAGCCCGGCAAGGGCTGGGGGCACAAGTCAGGGAGCCTGCTGATCCAGTCCATGAAGCCCCGACATGCTATGGGTGCCGGAAGGCTACCCGCATCCCAGAGGCAAGTGTGCCCAGGAGCTCGCCCAGAAGCTTCTGTAAATCTTGCCCCTGCTGTCTGCTGTCCGGAAAAGAGTGTTTCCCCTCCTCTTAGAACTTCTGAATCTTTTGCAAGGTAGTCACGATGGCAGGCCCTGACCCACACTCCTACTGGAAAGAGGATTTTGGGAAATACAGCCCTAGGAATCTCCCTGTGCCTGTAGGGTAGGATTTATGAGAGGCTGAATTGATGGCAGACAGGTTGGCACACTGGGCTTAATGGATTATCGATTCCATTCTCTTTTCCAATTCAACGATGGTGTGTTACATTCATTTTTAAACGTACCACTCTTAAAGTGATTGTATCTTAAGCCCAACACATGAATTTTAAAAGACTGTCATTTTATCAAAGACCAATGAAGTTTTTCTTTCTGCATTGGGTATGGTACCATATATCAATATCTAATTAGACTAGTTTGTGCTATAATATATTAAAAGTTGAACTTTGAATCATTCACTCTTTGTTACAATGATGGGTTTTGCTTATTTTCATAACTGAAATACTACAAATATTACGGAACCATACCTCAATAGGGTAAAAAGAGATTAAGAAGCTTAGGTCATTGTAGAAAGCTTAACTTTTTTTTTTTTTTTTAGCAGTGAGATAACATTTAGAATAACCAGGATATACATCTGCTCAAAGACATTCAGAATTCTTAAAAGTGTAGTAGGAAATACAAGCAGAAGGGCTCTTGGTAATGATGAAATTACACAATTTCTGGTGAGAGAAGGCATTAGAGAATGTCGTTTCAGTTTGTGGCCTTTTGAGTCCTCCTAGGTTTAAATTCTGAACTGTTATTTATTAGTAATGTGTCACTGGGCAAAAATAATAAAACAACAGCTACTGAATGTTCCATACCCAAGTACCCATCAGTGGATGAGTGGGTAAAAAAGCTGAGGCACATTTACACCATGGAATACTATGCAGCTGTAAAGAGGAAGGATCTTTTAGCCTTTGGCGCAGCATGTGGAGGGACCTAGAGAGTATTATGCTAAATGAAATAAGCCAGGCAGAGAAAGACAAGTACCACATGACCTCACTCATATGTGGAATCTAATAAACAAAATAAACTGATGAACAAAGTGGATCCAGAGACAGGGAAGCATGGAACAGACTGAGGGATCTCAGAGGGAAGGCGGGGAGAGATTAATCAAAGGAGTTATATGTTTGTAAGCATAACCCATGGGCACAGACACTGGTATGGGGAAAGCCTGGGGGTGGGATGGATGTGGGGTGGAGGGGATCAGTGGGGATAAAAAGGGGACATCTGTAATATTCTCAACAATAAAGATAAACTTAAAAATAAATAAAACAAATTCTGAACTGTTATTTATTAGTAATGTGTCATTGGGAAAAAATAATAAGTTACTGACTGTTCCATACCAGGCCTCGTGTCCAGGATTTTACATGTATTTTTGCCTTTACTCCTCAAAATAACCCTCAGAGATGGAAACTGTCATTGTCTCTGTTTTATAGATTAGAAAACTGAGGCTGAGTGGTGACAAGGAACTAATCCCCCATAAATGAAAATCATTCTCCATGCTGGCCTTCCGCAAAGCGCACCTCAAGTTGTAGAAAATGGCAGACATGGCATCAGTTGAAAAATTCAGTGGTCAAAAGGAGAAGTCTAGGATGGTACTGTTCATGTAGACATGGGCCATGTGCAGCCATTTAAATAATTTCACTGAGTTAAAATGCAATACATGGGGCAGGGTGGAATGGGTCATTGGGGAGGAAAGGGGACATCTGTAATATTTTGAACAAAGTAAATAATAAATACAATGCAATACATTTAAAGTTCAGTTTCTCATTCTGAACAGTCACAGTTCCAGTGCTCAGTAGCCACATGTGGCTCCTGGCTACCATACTGAAGAGAGAAGAACATTTCCATCATGGCAGACAGTTCTATTGGGCGGTGCTGGTCTAGAGAATTCATTGTGTGGGTCATCGTGAGGGTAAAAAAAACAAAGGCAGCAAAGCACAGAGTTCAGGTTCTCTCATAATGTCTGAACTGGAAAGAGGCATGTGGGTCCATGCGATGGCCCCTTTCTGCCCGCTGTGTGGTTGGGAGGGAAGAAGATGAACGTGTGTGTCAGGGCTCTTGCCAAGCTTTTCCTGAAGGACATGAGCAGGGACAACAGAGAAGCGAGTTCTCATGACCCCTGAGGACCAGAGAGGGTTTCACGTACACATGCAACGTGCTCACGGTTTAGCTCTTGCTGTCTCATTTCTGCAGGTATGCCATTGGCCTTGCGTACAAATCGGCCCCAAAGCACGAGTGGATTGGGAAGAACTCTGCTTCCTGGGCACTGTGCCGCTGCCACAATAACTGGGTGGTGAGACACAACAGCAAGGAGATCCCCATCGAGCCAGCCCCCCACCTCCGGCGCGTCGGCATCCTGCTGGACTATGACAATGGCTCCATCGCGTTCTACGATGCTTTGAACTCCATCCACCTCTACACCTTTGATGTCTCATTCTCGCAGCCTGTGTGCCCCACCTTCACCGTGTGGAACAAATGCATGACCATTATCACTGGGCTTCCCATCCCAGACCACCTGGACTGCACCGAGCAGCTGCCCTGAGCGCCTGGCCACGTGGCGGGGATTTCTGGTGAATAGGAAGGCTCGTGGCCACCCTTTAGGGGGCAGAGAAAGCACGGGCTTGCAGAGTGGTCAGATCTCACCAAAAAGTATCCAGAAATCAACTAAGATAGGTCTCCAAGTGGGCGATTCCCTGCCCCGTCCCCCTTTTACTGTGTTTTGTATTAAGTACAGTCTTTAATACTTTCTTTGAAATTTTTTTTGTATTTACAGGAAAGTTTATAGATTATTTATGAAAGAAACATAACTGGGATTACAACTCTTTTAGGAATTAATTTGGTTTTGCACATTAAGAGGCCAAAAGCTCTTTACAACCTTTATTTCATCACAGTCTACAACAGTGCATAACAGAATATGCAACTACTTTTAAAATGAAACATAGTTTTGAACCTAGTAAGGAAGTAAATGGGATTTCTTACTCTGCCTTATCTCGAGGTGTTTTAACTGTGATGTTGGAAGCTTTTATTAGGTCAACTACAATGGAGAACGAAAAAGAGAGTAAAGAATTGGCCTTGGCGCATGGAACCTGCCGTGGCTGATGGCTGGTAGGATAATGTTGGAAAGAAAGGTTCTGAGACATTTGGCCATATTTTGCCCAGCTTTTTCCAGGATTAAGGATTCAGGGAGAACATTAAGAATGAGATTACAACTGAAAATAGTCACTTTGAATCCTATTGATTATTCAGAAATTCAAGCTGATTTGTGTTTTATCAGAAGTAGGATTCTATTTCATGATAGAAACCTATTTCATTCTTCCTCTTAATAGTTTCTTTAGGCCTGTGAAATTCCTTCACTACATTTAATAGCTGTCCTACTCCCCACCCCCCCCAACTCATTTTTCTTTTGTCACCAGAACTAAGAAACTAAACATTTTCTGTCACAAATGGCAGCACCACTGGGCATTGACTTTGCTGTCCAGGACATCAACACGTGGCCCCAACTGCCACTACCGTGTCCAAATATAAGTCACCCCCAAAACACTTAATGAGTTGATAATGACAAGGGACGTTGCATAAATGACTATTCACTAGTATACGTGCCCCAAAAGTTATTACAAACTGACCTTTATTAAACACATCTTGAAAGTTGTAGAAGTCCCTCTGTATATTCTAGTATAGTTTACCATAGAGTTGTAAGATTAAAAAAACACAAATTTGCTATTCCCACACTGGCACCTGCTAATAGAATATCGAGTGGGACCCTTGGCATGCTGGTCTGACACGTTGGAACGGCCCATGAAGTAAGGCTTTCTCGGGCAGTCCTCGGACCTGGAACCTGGCATTGGTTCACCTTGACGAAGGGCGTGACACCTATGAATCATTTCATTCGCTAAAACCTTTATCTGGGCTACTGGGTCAGCCACTTGGACTGAATGGACTGGTGGATTTAGGCCTTGTTTATGGTGATTGTTTTTAACCAAATCAACCCATTGTTCCCTTGCACTCGGTTCACAGACCCACTGTAGCAGCATCACATTATGTGATTTTGAGTCTGGACTATCGCGGCGGCTTCCCAGTGCTTCTGCCCTCTTCACTGGCAGATACTCTCTTTTTCTTAACAGATAGAGTCTATATATTTACTATATTATTTATACCCAGATGAATATTTTGATAGCTACTTAGGATAATTTCACATCTAAAAGATGGGCACCTCAACGGGAAAAAAAATGAATCATTCTCTGGAAACTTAATAGGATTTTCTTACAATATAAGAACAATGTATATTTGCCTTCCCAGAAGAAACTGAAAGTGTTGTCTTAGTAATTTTTACATGCTGTTTTTAGTGGCTGGATAACAGATATTTTAATGCACTTTGTACATTAACAGGTGTTAAATAAAAGGGTCTAAAACTCTTGGTCTCCAGGTACCAATAAATGCTACAGTTTGCCTTATGATGTTAATATAAAGCATTTACCAGAAGAACAATATTTCCATGAATATAATGTTTTTCAATATAAAGCAGTTGCTACTCAAATTTTCACTGCAAGCTGTTTAGGTTATGTTTTGACTATTTTTATAAGGACAAGGGATTATGTTATAATTTTGTTGTGGAAGTCTCACTCCTTGCTAACTTAAAAACATTGTGGCTAGTAGCAGTTATTATGTCCATGTTGTCATATTTACAAGAAAATATGTATATGGTGAAAGTCCACATTGTTTACTTTCATTACTGTAATGATGTAGAAAAGATTGCCGTGTGGATTTTTTTGAAAGTCAAAAAATATATGCTATATACACTTGCTGCAGTACAATTCTTTAAATGGATTGGGGTCATGGTGTTTTGTTTTTGAGGTCCTTACTTCACAAGAAGCATTGTAATTCGGGGGAGAAAGAGGTGGCAGTGCCAATTAAATTAATGCAACAAAACTGATGCAGTGCCAGCCAAGATTGCCAGGTCCAGCATCATGCTTACGTGAACAGTGCTGTCACCATCCTGAGATTCTTACTACTTGTTGAACAAAGAGCCTGCGTTTTCATTTTGCACTGAGCCTCACCAATTACACAGCCAGGCCTCATAACAAAACGCAGAGACGCGGCACCTCTCTTCTTGGTGTATACAAATGAAGAAACCTGCATCCAACGTCAAAATGGCTGGCCATGTAATTCAAGTAGGAATCTCAATGGATTAAGATGAGAATGGGCCCAGAAGATTTTCTTTCCAGCTTTAAAAGAAAATGACTTCAAAAACTGACTGCAAATATTTATGATGGTTTCTGCTGGAGAAGAGGAAAAGGGCAGATGACAAGCCGCCATTTTATTATGGTACTGATATAGTGACCCTAACCTTCCTGAGGAACCGAACTGGCACCCTCCAGTGAACGTGGAATCCCACTTTGGCTCCAGGCACATGTGCATTGCTTGCAGAGACACGCATATATGCTCACTTACACGTGCTTTTGGTGTTGGGAAGTTGATGATCTATCTGATCTACCCTTATAAAATGTTAAAAAAGAATACAAAGACAATAGTGGGGGGCGGAGGTTGTTTTTAAAACAGTGCTTCTCAACGAGGGGGCCATTTGCCAGTGTCTGGAGTGATTTTTGGTTGTTCGAACTTGGGAGAGAGTGCTACTGGCATCTACTGAGTACAGACCAGGGATGCTCTTCAACATCCTGCAAGGCACAGCGCAGCCCCACCACAAAGAATTGTCTGGTGAAAATAGGAGTAGTGCCACCCATGAGAAACTCTTGCTCTTTGGGGATTTTTTTTAAAGCAAAACTCTCGCAAATATTTTGTACTTTTTCTATAACTAATTCAATGCCTGATATATCAAAGAGAGAAGAAAAGAGGACACCAAAATCTTCATTGCAGTCAGTGGCTCCTTCACTTTCAAAAATATTTGCAAAATCCTCACAAAATCTGAGATCTGAAAAGCAATCCAAGCCAATGTAAATGGGAATCCACTGATTAGTGTCATGAAGATCCAGTTGTGATTTACTGAGTTTGTAGATGGAAAGTGGGCTCTCTAGGCTGCTCCTTTCACCTGGACAAACTCAGTTCCTGGTACTCGAGTCACACTGCCAAGCCCTCACTCAGCCCAGACTAATCTCATCATTGCTGTTGCTTTCTGGTTTAAAATAAAGTCATTTTTGTGGTTCCAAGGCCTTCTGTCTCTGCCTGTCTCTGTTGCCCTTTATTTTGTGTTTTTACATCCACAATTTCCGCAAATATCTATCCAACTTCTTCTGTTCTTTTTGTACTACTTTGCAACATATAATTCATTTTCCTTTATGCCTGAAATTTGCTCGCGTCTACCATCCCAACTCCCTTCAGTAAAAGACTTCAAAATAGCACCCAGGGATTTTAAAAACACAATAAAAGAGAACCTATATGGGAATGGAGACCTGGAACAAGAATGGCTCGCTTTTGAGTCTTACAGGTTGGATGGAGGAGGGGAGGGCAAGGATGATTTGAGCAGGAGAGGGAGGGTCGGTCGGTCGGTACAGTGCGGTCTGGAACAAGCCCATCAGTTGGTCCATAAATCTATCCTCAGTGCCATCCTCTGGCTCACAGGCCTTGACTTTCTCTCATTAGAAACGCAGGCCCCTCGATCTGAGCCGGCGCTGCGCAGTGGGTCACGCTCTGCGGCATCAGCACCGCCTGTGCGCTTGTTGGAAAAGCTAGCTCTGCAGC